CTTTTAAGAAGTTGGAAGAAACTGAAGAGGTGTTGTTCCTCTATCTCTATGACCACGCGACTACATCTGAAGATTTTGAGGCCATGAACCGCCTGACCCTCAGTCTTGTGGGACACGCTCGCATTGTTAAGTCTGACAGTGCTGCTCTTTCCGAGCGGTTCAAAATCTCTACCTGGCCTCGTCTTCTGGTTGTCCGTGACGGACGTCCCAACTACTATAATGCCCTTGCTCCTAAAGACATGAGAGATTTCCGTCAAATTCTGTCTTGGATGCAGACTGTGTGGCTTCCCATTGTACCTGAGCTCACCGCATCTAATGCCCAAGAAATCATGGACGGAAAGTTCGTGGTTCTGGGACTCCTCAGCCGTCGCCGAAGCGATGATTTCAAGCAGTCCAAGCGCGAGCTGAAGGAAGCCGCCCTTGAATGGATGGACAAGCAGGTCCAGCTGTTCCGCCTTGAGCGAGCCGAACTTCGTGATTCCAAGCAACTGCGAATCGAAGAAGCCGATGACCGCAACGATCAGCGTGCACTGCGAGCTGCGAAGAACATGCGTATCACGATCCGCGAGGACGATAAGAAGCAGGTCGCATTTGCTTGGGTCGATGGTGACTTTTGGGAGCGCTGGCTCCGCACAACCTATGGCATTGATGTAGAAACTGGTGACCGCGTTATTATCAATGATCAAGATGTAAGTCTTCCGTCTTGAGACTTGTTCGAGCACTTTGACTGACTTCTCTAGAACCGCCGCTACTGGGACACCGCTTCAAGCGGAGCTCCCATAATGGCATCGCGGACCTCCATTCTCGAGACCATTCCTCTCGTCGTCGCTTCTCCTTCGAAGTTGTCTCCCAAATCTACCATTGGCATCTTTGAGTCTATCTTCTTCTTCACCCGATCCCTCCTCGGCAGCCATCCCATCCTCTTCTTCATCATCTTGGGTGCCGTGGTCGCTGTGGCCACCATCCTCGGACGTGGACGCCTTAGACGTAGTGCTGTGCGTGGCGGAATTATTGGCAACACCAACAACAATGGTGGCTTTTTCCACCTGGACGGCAAGGAGGGATTCCTTAATGGAGGCTCGACCGGCAAAGTCGACTAATGAGACAAATGTACAGTTAGGGTGTTTTGGCTACGTTGTTCTTATAATCTTCTGCTTCCCCTGTATTTGATTAATGCTGCTTTCCGTTTGTGCGTCTCTTCGATAAAACCTGTCTCGGTGGAATTTCTTGCATGTCAGACCCAGAGGGTTTTTTGAAGCACTTAATCTTATTCTAGTTCTTTTCAGCCTTCACACGGACTTTTAGAGTCTTGGCGTATCAGCTTTCCAGGATCCGCAAGGCTTCCTAGTCTTAGGTCAACAAACTGATTAAAATCTTCTAGTTTCTCCAGTCTAAAATTAGAAAGATGAAAGATAAATGGGTTGGAAACTGGGCCCTCTTGAATAAATCCGTTTGCTCGTTGTAAGCTCATACTTGGACGACAACAATTACGCCTCCTCTGATTGGCTACTGGCTTCTAGTCACGTGCTACCTCGGGCACTCCCGGTTTTTGTCGACCACCAAGTGCCAGTTCCCGTCTCCTAGCAATTGTCCCACCAAATCACTCCGGTGTAATTCAAAATGGTAAGTGCTTTCATACCCAAAACTTGAAAGTCTTGCAATCTATCCTGAAGTTCCTTGCCTACTCAGCCGCGCTCCGGATAGAGGACAATCGGGCCAAGAGTATCAAAGCCGGCTTCCGAGCCGCGGGATGAGACGAGATGAAAGATGTCGCATCAATTGCTAACACAAATTCTATAGTTCGCCCCTACCGCTCGCCGCGCCGTGGCCCAGGCCTCCGCCTATGCGCCCAAGTGAGATATCCCCATATCATTTCCCCCGAACCCCGGACAGTACACGTTGGTTGGCAGTCAGCATGTTGGATGGAACAAGTGAAGCATAGTCTTGAGTTGGCCAATGCTGCTTTCCTACTTGATTAGAGGCCCGTGTATCCTCTCTCGCAGCGGAGCTTGACGGGTGTCTGGTATCTGTGGGGAGCTAGTATTACAAGACCGTGGCAAAAGAGCTGGATATCGAAGAAGGCAAATAAAACAAGCAACGAGAACACCAAGCTAACACCTCACTAATCTATAGGTACTACATTCCCCGCACCGCCGCCGGTATGACCCTTGGCACAGCCGTCCAGCTGTAAGTACATCCCGCATCCACTCTCCCTGGTTTGCCAAGATACGGGGGCTAATGCCGTTTCAAACAGTGGTTCCATCGCTGCTGGCTTCGGTGTCGCCCTTGGTTCCGGTGCCCTCTTCATCTTCGGCGAGGTTCCCCGTGTGCGCAACGACATCCTCCGCAAGCTTCCTTTCTTCGATACCTACTACGACCGCAGAATCGCCCCTGAGGACAACGTGAGTCAAGCACAGTCGATTTGGGGTCTGCCATTAATGCTGACTCTCTTCTAGCCCTTCTAAATTATTTGCGCGGGTATGTACCTGTCTCACCTTTGATCAATATGAATCGAGGCTTGCGGGAGTCAGGCTGGGGCTATACTGTGTCGAATAACGATGAAAGTCTTTTCTGTTTTCAATACCACATAGAAACAGTTGTTCCCAAGTAAAACTTTCCTCCACGGTTCTTGTGTGTGATTGTACACTGTCGAACATGCGACCTTCCCTTACATCATAGAGCTGAGAAACCAGACTACGAAACCGAGCTATTTTTGCAACTTGTTTGCATGGGCTGGACCATCTTGCGAAGTCCACTAGAAACGTTCCGGGCATGTTTCTTCCTGACGTTCGATCGTCTCGCCCTTTGAGAGTACTAGCGAATAGGCTCTGCTCTTCCCTTCTTAGGCTTCATTAAAGAAGTCGCTGGTCTTATCTACGTATCTGCTAGAGATAGACGCTGCTTGTCAAGCTCCGAATTCCGTGCGCCAGTACAAAGCATGTTTGCCCATTCCCTTGGTGTTGAACCTCCGGAACGACTCAAAGAAGGCCCTTCCGGTTACTACGCGAAACAGTCCCAATCCGCGTGTGATGTCAACTTATCTCGCAGGTCAGAAGCATGTCTATGTTTTGCTACACAAAAAAGTGCCATCGGAGGGTGTTGGACATCAATTGGGAAGTCTTGATGTCAGATTAGGCTCGTTTGCCGCATTTAGCGATTCGAAAGGTCCTATCAACACTACAGCGGTCAAACCAATACCTGAAGCCATGGAGCATTCCTCTGTATTAATTAAGAACGGTACATGATTTATGATGAGAACGGTGCTTGGCAATGTTAGTGTGACTGGCCCGGAGAGGTCTATTTGACACTATCGGGTCCATTTGGGCAGATGATGTGGTTAGCTGCCACCCGGTTGCTTCAATCCAGCTTAAACAGGAGGATTCCCGAACCAATGCTCTGCTGGGTCTATGGCCCGGTAAGTTCGAAGGACGAATGCTGGAAGCTTTCGTCTCTGATTCCTAATACCCAGCACATAGCTCAGCATTATTTAACAAAAGAAACGCATGTCTGAAAATTGACAAGTTACAGCAACATCCGCATTTTGCTGCTGGCCTAACCTCAATACCTTTAACCTACACCCTTTTCAAATGGATGGTCTTCTTCGCAGGAGCCCCGGGTTTCATTGGCAGCTATATCCTATCCGAATGCATAGCCCCACCTGATATTTTGTCTCATCATCGTATGGACTCGGCGATCAACGGATGATGAAAACATTCCTAGAGCCATCCTTAAGTCACAGAGATAATCCATGATGATGTCAGCCGGTATCCGTCAAATAACATCCCCTTTTCATCTCAAGTATTGCAGTGGATGGGGAGCTGAACAGGACCAGAGTAGGAAGTTATGGCTCGAGCTTGCAACGAGAAAGATCAAGGTAAGTGATCCCTGTCTTTTTTGTATATTATTGTCTGACTGAGAATAGGGCCTCGTAGAGAAACGTCTCTCGGATCTTGCCAAGTAGAATCCTGCTTTTGAGTTCTACAGCCTACGACCTGGCGCCATGATGGCTGGTTCAAATATTTCCTATGATCTTGCAGTAGCGATGTCATTTGCCGTTACAGTAAATGATCTTGATGAAGTTTTTGTCAGAGGTACAACCACGGGCCACTCGAAACAGATTATTTAGAACGCGGAAGTTGTGAAGATAGTTACATTGCTGAATGCGAAGTTACATGGCGACTTGATTTGACTCATCATCTATTTCCTAGTGAATTTGAAGCTGGCGGCGGAATAGCCAGGCGAAATGGCACCACTGTAACCCAAGTTGGCCCTTCTTATTATTTACCCTTTCCGGTGTGATTGTCGCTATCTAACGAGCCGTTCTCGCAGCAACAGAATAAGATATTAGATGTAGATAGTTACGGTAAGGTAGAAGGTGCTTAGATAAGATGCATAGATTGGAAAATGGTCTGATTCTCTGTCTAGGATTATTTTGAGCTGGAGCCGCTTTTATTTGGAGAACAGAAATAACCTTGGTGCTAAGCATTAAAGGGGAGAGCTTCCAGCTCTTTTCTACGCTGTAACGCATTTTTCGTAGTAAGATGGAGTACTCCAGAAAAGAAGGGTGGAAGCAATGCTATCAACGAACTAACAACTATCTTAGTATACACGACACTCTTGGGACTAATCCTAATCCATTCTGGGTATAGTCGAGAGTAGACTGAGGACACCGGATTCACGAATTGAACACTAAGCGTCACTATCTACATGGCCCGGGATAATCAGCGAGCACCCCCAATCTCCGGGACTTGGCACACACTGAGCACTCACTAAATATCAGTCACTATACAAGTGATAGGCCGCCTTCACGTCTGAGCCCGGGCTGACAATTACTTGGTGAGTCTAGCTAAGCCTAAGCACCTTCATTACAGCGGAGCCTTAGATAGCCAAACCGACCAGGGAAAATCTGGTATAGCAACACCAGAAATGGAGATTCTGCAGCTTTAAGACCGAAACCTCTTTTCCCAGCAGGGCAGGTACACCCTTAGATAACGAGTAATATGATTTTGACAACTCTGGAGTTTCAGACCAACACGAGTCATGTCCTTATCTCTGTTATTACGATGATAACGACATCTGCTGCAGCTAAGTTTCGCTCACGGCCGAAAATTTGTGAAAACGCCTGGAGTTTCCCTACTGGGACGAGATTTTTCCTTACCAAGTCTGTGGCACCGATCGTCCAAGCCCTATGCATCGAATGAGCGGTGGCATTTCCCGTCTCTCCAAATCACAAGCTTGCGGAGTAACGCGATTCACACGCTTAAATAAGGTATCTATTTATTCTGTAGTCTAATAACACATTTTTGGGGTTTATTAATTCCTAACGTAATTTGCTCTTATCGTGCCTCTTTGTAAGGAGTACAGTGCAGAGAGTGCCTGCTTTCTATGGGGCGTTTCCCCCTCGATTGCCACCGGTCTTCGTTGTACAATGAGGTCGAGTCATCCGATATCTATATTTTTCCACATTCGGCTTGGCTCGATCCCAGCTCGTTTAGATACACATATCTAGTCTTGCGATCGGCAGTGCGCGGGGTGATGGGCCAAATGCGCCGTACGATGCACACATAAGACGATAGTATCCCCTACCGGCTTGCTTTATTACCCATGACCCTGGGCTGCTGTATCAATTTGATTTCCCTTGACCTGTTGCTTCAAGGTGAAGGCACTCGTGTTTACCCTTGCATGGTTGTCATTTTGTTTCGTGGAGATCTAAATCGCACTTATTTCGCCGCGCCTGGTTATCTTGACCATGGGCGGAAGTATGGAGACTCAAACTTTTGTCTCAAGCCTATCCAAAGGCCACCACGAGACGAGTAATACTCCAGTTACTTCTGTGCTCCCGGATGGTGATGTGCCCTATACGGACCATGACATGGATGCCGATGAGAGGGTGATTACGGCGCTGGGTTACAAGCAGGAGTTCAAGCGTGAATTCTCGCTATGGACGACTTTCTGCGTTAGCTTTGCTGTTCTGGGGTTGCTACCGTCGTTTGCGAGTACTCTATATTATGGTGAGTACTTACAGACCCGTGTTTGTAAGATTAAGTGCACGATATAGCTGACATGGATTGGATTGCAGGAATGGGTTATGCCGGAACAGCGGGCATGGTCTGGGGTTGGATCATCGCGATGATATTTATCCAGTGCATTGCAATGTCAATGGCAGAGCTATGTTCAGCAATGCCGACTAGGTACGACACACTGCCCGATATCCCATCCAGGAAGATAGTGTTCAAGGGAGGCTAATGATGTGCTGTACAGCGGCGGACTATACTACGCCGCAGCAGTCCTCGCACCTCCGGGCTCCGGACCCTTCGCCGCCTGGATCACCGGCTGGTCCAACTGGATCGGACAAATTACAGCAGCGCCATCAGTCAACTACTCACTCAGCGCAATGATCCTCGCAGCAGTCTCAGTCCACAATCCATCCTACACCCCGACAACATGGCAGACCTTCCTGCTGACAACCCTCATAATGATCCTGCACGCCGGAATCAGCAGCATGTCCACGAAGCGCGTAGCACAGTTCAACTCATGGGGATCAACATTCAACTTCATTACCCTGATTGCAGTCCTCATAATGATCCCCGCAAACACAACAAACAGCCCGAAATTCACACCCTCCAAACAAGTCTGGGGCAATATAACAAATCTAACCGACTTTCCAGATGGGGTTGCCGTACTGATGACGTTCGTCGGCGTGATCTGGACCATGTCAGGCTATGACTCGCCGTTCCATTTGAGCGAGGAGTGCTCGAACGCGAACGTCGCCTCACCGCGCGCAATTGTGCTCACCTCCGGCGTGGGCGGGCTGATGGGCTGGTTCCTACAGCTGGTGGTTGCATACACGGTGCTGGACATCGAGGCCGTTATTGATTCCGATCTGGGACAGCCCTGGGCGTCGTATTTGCTGCAGGTTATGCCGCAGAAGTCGGCGATGGCTATCTTGGCTTTGACGATTGTCTGTGGGTTTTCCATGGGTCAGGGGTGTATGGTTGCCGCGTCGCGGGTTACGTATGCCTATGCTCGTGATGACTGCTTTCCATTCTCGGATTACTGGAAGCAGGTGCATCCATATACACAGACGCCCATCAATGCGGTGGTGCTGAATGCCATTCTCGGCATTTTGATGTGCCTGCTCATTCTGGCTGGAGACGTGGCGATTGGCGCTTTGTTCTCTATTGGCGCTATTGCGCAATTCTTTGCTTTTGCTATTCCTATTACCATTCGGGTGTTCTTTGTTGGTAACCGGTTCCGCAGGGGCCCCTGGCATCTAGGTCCCTTTGGTCCGTATATCGGGGGCATCGGTGTTGTGTTTGTGCTTTTCATGGTCCCGATTTTGTGTTTACCTAGTGTTACTGGTAAAAACTTGACGCCTGATCAGATGAATTGGACTTGCCTTGTTTGGGGTGCGCCGATGGTGGCGGTCACGATTTGGTGGGTTGTTGATGCCCACCGCTGGTTCAAAGGGCCTGTGGTCAATGTCGAGCATGCTATTCATGCGATTGAGCAGGAGCCGGTCATCTGTGAGGGCATTGAGCCTGAGGCCCGAGAGACCGAGGAAAGTGCTCTGTCCAAGACGGATAATCCAGATGATCCCATCTAGATCTTCTTGTAAAAGCTGTCAATGAATCAGTTTTGGATTTTAAATTTTGATGCTTTTTTCTGTTACTACCTAATTTGATGTTATAAAATAGGTCATAGCCACCTCTTGAAGACCTGTCGCACGTTCTTACATTTCCAAGTTAGTACATTTTGTACGGGTTTGTTTGATATTCTGCAATCATCTCGTAGTATCGGATGGATACGAGATGCCATCATCCCTGTAACCCAGGATTCAATGGATGTAAGATGAAAGTAACTATCTCTATCTTCAGGTAGAGACTCCGATCTGTAAACAGTAGTGATGACCCTAGTTGAATCCAACAACAAGAATGTTAGCTTCCTCCACCTGCATGTCAGAAAGCACAACGTAGATCTGGCTCCATAAATATGGATCGATCTGGCAGCGTCGTATGGAGCCTGACCCAGTGCCCCTCCTGGCATGATCTAGGCAAAAAGATGTGACAGAGAGGATGGAGCAAACCCACTGCTCCACCAGTTCCATATGGCTGAAATAAGGTTGACTGTGTGATAGCTGCATGACATTCTGCTGAGGGTGAAAAAGATTTCAGAGATTTTCTCTCATCCATACATAATCTATACATAATCTATACATAATCTATACATTCCTTTAGAGGGGTTGACGATTACTTGTTGCTCTTGCAAATATACACATGCACTAGGGTTAGTCAAGGATGGGTACTTCGTATAGAGCACGTCAAATTCCACCACAGAGATTTATGGTCGTTCAAAGAAAACGCAAGAGCTTAATCTGCTGAACATGTACACCGCAGAAGAACCATTTCAGAAGCCGATCGTATCTTGATTGCACTTTGTATACAGTTCCTCTATGTGAAGGGAAAATCTACATCACTTGTTCTTCTAGGAACACATTAAAGCAATCACTAAAACCCCAAGAGCAAGCCCAGATGCCAAGCCAACTATTTTAAAACCTAATTCAATCCCCAAAGTACGGAACCCAAGCAATCATCCCCTAACGGCTGAGTACCTTGCACAACATGCCTTGCGCTGGGATCCCCGGGAGAATCCTGTAAGCTCCACCCCCCCCCCCTTGAGACTCCACCGGCGGTGGTGGACACTGAACATGGATGCAACGGAGAAAAACCAAAAAAAAGGGTTGGAAGAGAGATATGCTTAATCTGACTCCAGATGAGAGGGGGGCAGCCCACACCCCCTTAACACAAGGAGCCATCTAGGTATGTTGTGCTAACAAGGGGTCCCACTTGTGTCCTATCATTCCAACCTTTTTCCGGAGATAGCCTCTCACAACATCAAAACTTCTATAGTGCTCAATAGTAAGTAGTATTTGCCTCATTGAACTTTGAAGAGCGCATAGTCACGATATCTCATTTCGCCGAAAATCAGAAACCTCGGGGAATCTAAGGGGAAAAGAAACTCAAAGCACCTCCAACCACAAGGACCGGGACAAGTATGCGAAAAACCAAAAAAAAAAACCAAAAAAAAAAACGTGTTGGGGGTGGTCCTTGTCGTACGGAGTACAGCCCCTCTTGTCCACTCAGCCCGCTCCCGTCCGGATTGCACACAGTCCCGTCACTGTCAGGGGTTAAGAGGAACAGTCGGGGATCGGCAACTGGGTCTATGTTGTGTCTATGTTGTACGTCATAACGAATTCAAATATTTTTTTAAGGGATTCGAATCCCATGGATTTTTTTGAGGTTCATGAATTTGAACGGATCGTTTGAAATTTCTCTTGGTTCTTTGACAGATCTAGCGGTCTGAACGGTAGACTTGAAAAAAAAATTCCCCCCCCTCCTCCGAAAGTGAGTTGCGGGCAAGTGGCTGCTTTTGGGTCGGGGGTGTGCCGAGTCTACCGTCGTTCTCCGTATTGTACGTTACAATTTCCCAATCAAGACCGTTTTGCCATTTTTCCATCGTCTTCTAATTTTTTAGATATTTTATATTTTGAACTTTTGCGTTATTTGAGGGTTGATTTATCAATGCTTCGGTCCGATAGGCTGCAGGTGATGCTCAATTTATGCAATTTCTAATGAAGTGGTTTGTTCATTTTTTAAGGTTATGTTGTCCTCCGTACGGAGTACACTGCAAATGGTTCGGTCCGACCATGGGTCTGTAGGTCGAAGAATCCAAGGCTCAGAATACGAACTTGCCTTTGATGATTTGATCAGTGGTAGCGAAGTATCAGATATTAATAGGAGGCGAATCACCGGTCTACTATCGAATTAGATCCGAAACCCACGCAGCCGAGAATTTCACTGGTACACATTGGGTCCAAGGGCCAGGGTGAGGCAATACCACTATAGAACATTGAAGAACATACGAAGTACTCCGTAGTGAATTGGTTCCTCAGCTGTCGTGACCACATAACCATGTTGCCCCGAATGGATTCCGATCCACAGAACACATGGGAAAATGGAGAAAGATGGAGTATTGAAGAATGGGACTGTAACCACTCTTTGAACACCGACAACTCAAAAGTCAATATTAAACTCAACTTCAACCCTTCAATCTCATACAACTACCCAAATGCCAATCCATCCATTAAAAGACGGGAAAAAAAATTGGCAAGTCTGAGTGTTTCCGAGGACCTTGTGTAAAAAAAACACGCTACTCCCATCTGGGCGTCGACTACAGACATCGACAGCCTATGAGGTCGGTGGCGATACGATCCTCTCATCCGCCGAAGCGGGTGATCGCCCCTGATTGGCTGCACAGATTCCTCAAACTAGGCGATCCGGACTTGACTTCAGCGGTGTTTCCGGCCCATGCCGAGAACAAGGCTGGCTTTTTGTGTGCATCGGATGTTAGGAGCGTTATCGGATGTGCGTTGTATAGATCGTGTAGACCGCGTCGACGTGTTCACTCTTGGTTTTCTTTTCCTTTTTTATTTTTCTATCTGTATTGTTAAAACGATGGCTCTCGTGTTTGTAAAATACGTTAAACGTACGGAGTACTCCGCACCGAGTTCACACATCACACCACGTGATATGCTATTCGGCAGCGATGGGGACTGGGGCGGGATCTACATCTTGCGCGCGCTATTCTCTCCTATCCCGGTTGATTTTTGATTCCAGCAACAGCTTAAGCATTGGGGGCAATTTAGCCTTACTGGCGGCCCCATTTCTACCGGCAGTGGGTTTGTTACATGTTCGACTGGAATACGGAGTACTCCGTACAGAAAAGCTCTCAATGGGGTAAAAAAAAAAAAGAAAAGCGACGCTCTTAGGCTTGTTTTTACACCCTAGTGGTCTCACTAACAAAGTAGGAAAATATTACTCCATAGTAACAAATGAATTGACAGCCCCTGATCAGATACAAAATTTCAAGACTCAGAAAGGCCTCACCGTACTTTGCGAACCGTTTTGGGGACTAGAGTGGAGCCCATTGACTCCCGGCATTGATGCCGACTGTATTTTGCCAGAGCAGAATGAATGCCACCTGCCACTTCAACACACCGTGTTTAATAGTTGACAAGCCACCAAGAACTAATTGTTTCCCCGGGATTGTAGAAATTCTTTTAGGCAGGATTAAGAGACATGGTTCTCCGTGCTCCGGAGGGCAATCTATGCAGCTAATTAGACACACGCTGTACATTGGACACGATATTCCAGTGGCTTACCCCGGTAGTATACACACGTACACATACCGAGGTGAAACAAAGTGGAAGGTCAAGCGAGCTTCCCTTTATGTCGTAGCTTGGATTCATTCTCGCCCCTTGTCGGGATCTGAGTTCGAAGAATCATAATGGTGTAACAAAACGGGTGTAAACATCTCAACTTGATATATGGAGTAGCGTGCACGAAGGTCAAATCAGGTGGTCATTTCAATCTTTCTGCAGAACCCTGGTCGAAGCCTTCTAGGTCCACAATCGAAGCGGGAGAAGCTCTTGCGAAGGGGTGGAGAAGGAGGGGCAGGGATGTTGGGTCCGGAATTCAGACCTTCTCCGGCAACTATACGGAGAACGAGATGCCGTATACCGTAGGTTTGGAGCTTGTGGTTTATTGTTCTGGCATGGTGTCGAATTTAATCCGAGGTCCCATCTTAATGTGATGAACGACGTACGGAGTAGTCACCCGGGACTCGAATGGCGTGCAGGATATGAAACTTTGAGGCCATGTTACTCGGGCAAGATCTCGGCTTAATTATAGTATAAGAAATCTGCAATGCGAAAGTACGCGAACCGAAGCCTACCTATGTCAGACTACGGAAGTAGTCACGTCCAATAAGGGGAACCCCCTGAAGCCAGTTTTGTCTAGAGCATTCCTGTGTGGCTGAACCTAGCAAAAACACTTTACAACACAAGGAGGACTTCCGTACGGAGTACATATGTACTCCGTATATGCTCCGTACTTCTCCTCCATTTCCCTATCTTGGAGCACCTAGGCAGCAATAGTATTAGTGTCCCACCAAAATAATTAGACTTATACCATAGATACCCCAATACGCTTAGTTTCTTTTTGATGGTCAACTAGTTCATGTCATGTTTCACTTCGAGTCAACTCAAGAAGCTAAGTGCGGAAACCATTGCGGAAACCAGTGCGGAACAGCAGGCGGTTACAGCGCATCCACTAAAGGATGCAGGGCAACAACGCATAGCCGTTACAGAAGCCTCCGGTCGGACAGCCCCAGTCTTCCCAACAAGTGGCCTAAGAACGCATGTCCCCTCTTCTGGAGGTGTGCCATGTACATCCGGGCTGCAGGCAGGAGCCAAATCCAGCCGCCTACAGGCTAAGCCAGTCAAGGATGCACGATGAGGTCTTGTATCGAGCTCAAGCTCATCTTCCGTCGGACCTCCTGCAAATGACGTGCTTGAAGAGATAGGTGCAGAGTGGGAGATCTTACGTAGGCTGGATTCTTATCTATCTACATTCAAGGTAATATCTTATAACTAGCATTTCAACCCTACGTACGGAGTACGGAGTATAGAGTCGTCTGTAGAGGAACGGGTTGAATCCAGATCAGATGTCACTTGCGGGGCCTGTCAGCCACTGCGGAGCCCAAAAACAAAGAACAGCCAGGGTCACCCATAATCCACACTCGGGGAGATGGCTCCATCTCCAATTATAAAGATCTACAACATCAGATACACAACGGCATAGTTAGTAGCTTCAGTGGTCACTTGTACCCAATGGTAGTTGGCAATCGCCGCGATCGGATACATCCAAGAATTGGGCCTTGATAGCAGCATGTTGGCAGTCTTACCCCCCCCCCCCCCGGAGAATAATCAGATTGCATATGATATAAAGGGTTATCTGGAGGATATCACATCTTGCTGGACTATGGTTTCGGAGCTTTATCATCATCCGTCCACGGGTGCTTGGGGATATACCTTGCAAGTGCGTCATCATATAGCCGCGTTAGGGAGATCAGAAATTGACTTTTGACTACTCCGTCCTCCGTGTGTATCTGATCATATTCTTCTTTTTTTTTTGGCCTCTCTCTCTCTTCTATGTAAATGTACAGCGTCAATCGAAAACCTTTCTAGAAATGCAAGAAATCATTACAAATCCCAACAATCCTAATACGTCTACTCTACCGTTATCGGCCATAGTTCGGAAGACGGCCGTGTAAGATTTGTAACTTTAAATTGAAAATACTGTATTTACGTATCTTTTAATTTTCTCTCTTTTTTTTCCCTTCTCTCGCCTCTTGCCTCCCCGAGGAACGATCGTCTTTTTTCGGTTTTTCTCATCTTTTCTGTTCTTTTTTTTTTTTTCGACCCGGTCTTCCTTAGAATTTTCCTTTTCGTCTTTACCAAGAAACTTATCCCCCCATTTTCCCTTCTCCTCCCCAATTTTCTCCAATTCCCAGACTTCAATACTCAATTCCCTGCACTTAAAATTTCTTCATTTTATTTACATATCTTCTTTCTATTGGCTATCTCTGAGTCAATTCCTTGATCTCAAGGATTATCTCGACGCGAAGCAGATCTCGGACTAGTTGTTTTTTGCTGCGAGAGACCCACTTGCACGCCCGCTTCTTTGGTGGATACAGAACAATCGACGGTGACAACGTGCGGATAAATCACCATCCTAGTTTTTTCTTCTGGTGGGTGACCGTGGGGAATCTTCTTCAATTAAGCATCTCTTTCTTTCTCTCTCTCTCGTCCGTGTGGAGTCAACTCGTGTGAACCCGTGAATCCCGTGAGACCCTGTCACCGTTTGCCTCTCTCTCTGTTCGCAGGAAAATTTTCAAACAAGGAGCTTCCTTCGCTTGAAAGAAAATTTTTTTTGTCCAGAGTGCAGGTTTTCATGATTGAGTTACCGTGAACATCTTCCTTTTTTCCTTCCTACACGATCTCTCCTCTGTCCATAATGGATCCCAGATCTCACCCTTCCCGTCCTCCATCCACCAGTCTGCCTCCAGGCTCCACGCCCATGTCCTCGACTCCCATCTCGAGCATGCATATGCCACAATACTCGATGCAGCCGCAGTATCCGGTGTCGCAGCCGCATACTCTGCCTCCATTGCAGCCTCATCACCCACAGTCGCCCGCACCTCACCATTACATGGGCCAACCGTACCGTCCGGATTTGTCGCGGTACCCTCCGTCAACTCACGATGTCTACGGGGCTTCCCAGGCCCCTATGATGCCGCACACGACTGTCGGTAGCCTTCCGCCATCGTCTCTGTTGAATCTTCCTAACCCTCCAACACAGGCGCATCAGCAGTACCCCCCACCTCCGAGTGTGCTTCCACCCGCATCCTCCGCTCAGAGCTATCCTCAGCCGATTGCTCCGGCACCCCCACGCGACCGTCGCCCGGATTTCAATGGTCTTCCCTCCGGTGCCTTTAGTTACTCCGATGGCAAGGGTTGGGGTATGACTCCTGATGTGAATGGCGCGAACGGCTCCCCCTACGCCAAGGAACCGCCACGGACGCAGGTCGTGGGCTCTCAGGGCCGCCGTGGCATCTTGCCAAGTGTTCCGGGCCGCGCGACTCCGGTTGCCAACGGTGTCAATGGTACAGCTAAGAGCACGACTATTCCTGCCAAGGATGCGGATGGCAAATTCCCCTGCCCGCACTGTAACAAGACTTACCTTCACGCCAAGCACCTCAAGCGCCATCTGTTGAGACGTGAGTGTTTAGAAACCAGATCGAGGACAAATTTCCCCAAAAAATGATCAAGATTTGCTAACCTGCGTCAAATTTTTGGAATGCAATAGACACCGGTGACCGCCCCTATATGTGTGTTCTATGCAAGGACACTTTCTCCCGCAGTGATATCTTGAAGCGTCACTTCCAAAAGTGCTCAATCCGACGGGGTAACCCGACCGGTGCGACCCACTTGTCCCACCCCCAGGCCCATCTGAAGCGGTCTCAGCAACAAGCAGCTGCGGCTGCCGCGGCCAATCCTCCTAAGCCGCTTCAGGATGAAGTCAGTAATCCCGTCCCCCACTCCAATGGCGTAATGGGCTCTCAATTCGATGGGGCCGTGAATGGCAATGGAATGGCCACGGGTCGTCCTGGCTACACGGAGCAGCAGCCGCTAGGCTTCACGATGCAGTCTGTCAACGGCATGAACCGTGGTCCCGGTGACGACGCGTTTTCTGCTGGCCAGGCGCACGCGAGAGCCTCGTGGATGGCTGGACCCAAGCAGAATCCGTATCTCATGCAGCCCGGTGTCGATGCCCATGGCCAGCAGCTGACGGTCGACCGTCCCCTTGAACAGGTAAAGCCCCCGGTCTATCATGACCACAAACCGGTCATGCCCGGTCCCCATTCACATCACCCGGGTGTTGACTGGAATTCGATGTTTCAGCACGGTTCTTCCGATGGGTACATTAACCCCGTTTTCCCTCACTCCATGGCCGCGGGCCAGGAGCCGATCCACGCTCCCGTCGACCACGACCGCAAGTTCTACCCCGCCTCGACCGGTCCTGAGAGCGGTATGAACGGACTGTACCTTGCTTCTACTACGCTGAGCGGAGACGGTTAGTTCTGACTTTGTTTCAACCTGTTTATCATGATGTGGGATCATTCTGACAATAGGATGCAGGTACCGTGCAGCCCGCGAGACAGTAGACTGTGAATTCGATCGGAAAGCAAGATGATGACTCCGAGGCATGAGATTGAAAAAGCGTTTTTGACGAAGCAACAAACCACACAAGGTTTCTTTCTTCTTCGCGCCGTGGGTAGGACTATTGCTCTCCGCCCTCTCTTCCATGGTTTCTAGGCCTTCGTTCCTGGCTTCTCTGCTGGTGCAAATCCACTGGTCACGGTGTCTCAACAAATCCGTTTACGATCGTCCTTTGATCCGTTCGCTTCCAGCTTTCAGCTTGCGGTGTTTCGTGCTCCTAGCGTCCCCCGTTCCGGTTTTGTTCTAGTATCGTTTGTCCTTTTGATCTTATCTTTTTTTTCCCTTTATTTTCTGATCCCATCCGGTGTGGGTGTGCATTCTTACACAAGTGGTTTGCGAGTCTGGTTATCTTTTATCTTGAACCCCCTATCAGAGGGGCAGATGGTATGGTGGGTGGTTTGTTCGGCGTCCACAACATAGACATGGGCATGTGTTCATCTTTTGCGCGAGTGTTCGACATCAGAAAGAAAAAAAGCCTCTATTTTTTACAATATCGTTTTTGGGATGGTTGTTGTCGAATTGTCACGTTTTTCTTCCTGCAGCTCCTGTTTTCATCATGTGCTTTTACCTTTTCCTTTCTCGTTTTTTTTTCTACTGCATCGCATGGCCTCTCTTCTCGTGTAAAGTCGGCATGACAGGACATATACGTGCTTCGGGAATTTCTTGAGGTGTGATTTAGGTGTTTCGATTCTTGGGTTTTGCTGGAAAAGCAGCTAGAAATAGACTTGTGATCCATGACTTGTCTGCAGCCTGGGGAACCCCTGGGGAAGAAGATCACTGTATCAGCTGATTTTTATGTACGATATAGCGGAGGTAGCGGAGTAGCGGAGACAATGGAGAAAATGGAAAAAACCCCGGAAACTTCCTATATAACGTCATGGCCATAATCCATCGCTCGTGATTGGAGAGTCCATAGGATCGGGAACTCTCGAAAATCAGCAGCTCACACTCCCAAGGTTCTCCTCATGGTCTACTTAACCTCTTCTATTCTATACCAAGTCTACAGGTGAACACTCCCTGTCCCACCATGTCCAACAACCGTCCATTCCTCGCCAACTTCCTGGCCGCCTTCCGCGCTCAGTCAACCTACAAGCCCACCACCCAGCAAGTCGGCACCACCTCAACCCTATCATCCGCCCAAATCTCCCAGAGTGCCCGCGCCATCGCTACAAAGGCAGCCAATACAGCCCAGGGGTCCTCCGTATCATCAACTGCATCTGCCGTAGCCCACCACAATCACAATCACAATCACCCTAACCACCGCCACACCCATACATCCTCTTCCCCCACTTCCTCAGCAACTGCAGCACCAGCCAGCCCAGTCCAAAGCTCAAGCCCGGCCCCTTCACACCACTACCACCACGACCAGTCAGCCCTCCCCTCTACACCACCATCATCCACCTCAACCCCCATCCCAATCAACCACAGCTCTGCAGACCGTCAGCGTCGTGGGAGTGACTCCTCCAGCGGCTCCGGGGGGTTCTGTGATGCTATCGGGCCTGAAAAGTGGTATATTGGCGGCAGGACACCGGCTGGTGAAGAGCGCTTTTATCGGCTTGGGATGGTTACGAAGGGTGGAGGGCGGCTTGGTGGGAGTGGACGGGTGGGGAGTATTGATCAGTTGAGTCTTTGAGATTGAAGATGTGAAATATGTTCTCGCGAGAGAGGGCTTTGAACAGTTTGGATTGGGGCTGGGATCTGGTCTTGGTTCTGTTCTGGGTTGACTGGCTTGGGCTCTGACTTTGGCTCGGCTTCCAAGCTATCATGCTGACACCCCAATTGGATGCTCAATTGTATGGGATTCTGGCCATGATCCATCATGATGTTAATGCGTGTTTCCTTTTCGTTGACTTTTTTTTCATCCGCGGTCTATCGGTTTGTTATGTGGTGCGGCATTGCTGGGCGTCCTGGGACGGTGCTCTTCTCCTTCCCCTTTTTCGTTTTTTCCCCCTGCGTTCTCTGATATCTGTCTAGGTCTGGAATCTGTATATGGGGGAATGATCTAAGGTTCCGATTGGGGATCTTGGTTTCTTGCTGGTGATTTTGCTGGTACAAAAGAAGCCCAAAAAAGACATACATCTGACACACGGTTTTTACATGAGTTACGATCTGCGTGGGAATGGGGGGGGGTTTGTTCAGTTCCTCATTTGGCTTTTCTCTCCCCTCTCCTCTCTTCTTTTTCGTTCTGTCTATCTTCGATTCTTGCAGACTGATGGCCAAAAATATGCTTTTGCAACATTCAAAATCACCATCAATATCACATGATCGAATATTCTTATTTGAGTTAGATGCGTTCCTTATAGGTCTAGAGTAGATGCGTATGCACAAATAAGGTATTGACCCCTGTCAAGTACAAAGATGTGATTTGGGATGTCCACCTGGGCAGCTAGCCCACTCACACCACCTGCTGTGTAACACAATGCAGCACACCCCCAGTCCTGGGCAAAGCATTAACCGCCACTTGACGAATTTCTCTCTCGGGAACCAGACACTTAAACATCTCAAAAGCCTTCTCATCAGCCTCAGCATCCCCAAACGCCGGCATAACCAGCCCGCCATTAACAAAATAAAAGTTAACATATGAAACCGCTGGCGCCTTCTCCTCCCCAGGAAGATCCCCCTTGATGTATCTCGGATCCGGCTCAACAACGTCGTGAACCTCAAACCGTCGTCCACATGCATCAGTAGACCTCTCCAAGACCGCTCGAATCTCCTCATAGATATCCCAATGCACCTTCTCCGCCCTCCCATGTGGACGACAAACAACAACAACCCCAGGCCTCACAAACCTCGCCTCGGCATCAACATGCACATCGGTAACATCGAGCCCCACGCGACCAGGAAACCAGATGAAAGTACTAACACCCAGCAACCGGCCAAGCTCAGCCTCGATCTCGTCTTTTCCGAGCCCGGCATTCCGCCCACCCCCCAGGATGCTACTCTCCGTCGCCATCAATGTCCCCTCGCCGTCAACTTCAATACCTCCCCCCTCAAGCCGGATATCCGTCTGCAGGCGCACAACAACATCGGCCACAGCCTCCACGTTCGCATTCTCAAGATCTAGCACGATGCCCGCGAAAGCCGTGTTCTCGCGCATGGCTTCGTCGTCCATGACCGGCCAGTCTGCGAACCGTGAGGCTTTTTCCAGCGTCTTTGCCGCGGACGACGAGGCGCAGGCACCGTAGATACGTTCCGTTGTTTTGTGGCCCCATTCGCAGAAACGGAAGTCGATTGCGTAGCGGGTTTTGTCTGCTGCGTCGGCACTGTGGATGTAAACGGGGCCTGTGTCGCGGATCCAACAGTGATTCGTTGGAGCTGGGATGAGGGCTAGGTTGGCGCGGTGCTGGGGTGCGAGATTGATGGTTTGTTTGTCGAGGAGGACTTGGGCTTGTGGGATATCTTCTGGTCGGATGTGGAGACGGACGGGCTCGAAGACTGCGATTGTTGCTGCGAGAGATATTATCTCGTTGCTTGTTGCGGCGTGGAGTTCAGGTAGGGTCGAGCGTTGTGAGGGGAAGCTTAGGAGGGTTGCTATGTGGGGGCTTGTTTCTGCTAGGCAGGTGTATTGCTTTGTTTTGTCTCGTTGCTGCGCGAGAGCGCGATGCTGTATGTGCCAGGTTTTGTTGGTGGGTGGCATGGTTGTCGTTAGGTGGATGGGATGGGAGATGACAGGGATGTGAGGTCTGGCTAAGGATATCTGGATGGGTTAGATTATATATATGTGGTACAGGATGTGATGGGTTGATAGACTGATATACTGACAGTGATGGATGCTTGTCTTAGACGATGGAAGTGGTGAAGAACTGGCATGAGAGAGAATGGTCGGAGGCAAGTTGAGGAGTACTTATTGCTGAAAAAACAAAAAATTTAGATCTCAATGTGGTAAATATGGAGTAGATAGAAAGATATACAAATGTCAAAGATGAGCCTAAACGAGTAAACGGGAAGAGAACCGTTGAACTACCGCATTGGGATAGTTCAGGCGAGATAAGCTTAACATCGTAGTGGGGCTTTTGTATGGATCTAGCCCTTTTGAAACTTCATTCTTGGACACACACAAAGGTGATACTGTATCAAATCCATCGTTGCCTGGTGTCCCTAGGCATCTATTCCTTAGAACTTGCGTAGAATCAAAAGCTCTAACTTCTCAGATCTCCATCCCTTGGGAGATATCTGAAAGAAACAAATGGTCTCAATAATTGGAGTTCCCTAGGCTCAATTATTGTACCTATGCTGGGAGACAAGATACAGATTTTGACAAAGATTTAGGATATACAAGTAAATCACAGATAGTAGCGCCTCGTAAAAGCTGCTAGTAGAGGAAATCCAGGTGCAACGTATAGTTCCGAGGTGACCTACCTCCGTGTATGATGTAGGGCAGCAGGCAGAACTGATACCTGCCTCCAAAAAAAAAAGGTGCTGCCTAACTGCGTAACCCTCATTCAACTCATTAAAGCTCTTTCCTCCTCATTTTCTCCCAACCACAACATCGGAATTGCAGTCAGCGCTACCAAAACCCCCAAAGTCCCCGTCATCGCACCCCACCCAAACCGATACTCGACAAACCCACCCCAAAGCGGCCCAAAGAATACTCCCGCAAATTGGCACATGCTCTGCAATCCAAATCCCTGCGCTACCGCGACCTTAGGCCCGAGCATGCCCGGAGTCTTGAGTTCCATCGCCGTAAGCGCCCGCTGCGTCTCAACATACATGGCTGGCGCGCAAGCGTGGATGAAAATCCCGACGAGGAAGAGTAATGATACTAACAGAGCGATCTGTTCATTTGACTTCGTGTGAACGAACCGGAGACAGATGAGGGTAGGCGAGAGAGAAACGAAACAGCCGAAAGCTACAAAGCGAGCACCGAACCTGTCGGTGAAGCCGCCGAATAGCGGCTCAAAGAAGGCTGGGACGGCCATTGGAAGGAAGATTAATCCCATGCCGAGGGCGTTCCAGCCAAATGTCGTTTCGACGAAAATAGGAAGTGTCTTGATATGATTAGCCAGTTGTTCGTGTTTAAGGCACCGAGTCTGGTGCATACCGCATCAAAAGCAGAAAGCAAGATTCCTTGCGCAAGAAGCGCCCACGAAGAAATCAACACTCGACGCTGCTTGAGCATCCGGAAGATAACGAGTCCCTTCCTTTGGACAACCTGTGGTTCATGTGAACCGACAGAGGGGATACGCTGCGCCGTCTCCAGATCCGACTCCATGCCTCCATGCGATTCTCCAATCCATTGAGCAGCGACCTTCTTCTCGATCAAGACCAGCCGCATTACCATGTCAAGCGCAAGAATAGGATACGCAAACCAGAACACGGCGTTGTACCCACCGGAATTGTACACAACGCCTCCGAGGAACGGACCCAGCAAGAAGCCGGAGGCAATTGCGGAGCCAAGATACCCTATCGTTTGACCAAGATGCTCCTGGTCTACAGCGTCGCCGATGAGAGCGAATGCCGCTACCACCACTAAAGCGCCTGCGATGCCTTGGAGTACACGAGCGGTGACAAACGCTGCGATGGAATGTGCCAGCTGCAGCACCAGCATGCAGCCAGTTAATACGATCAGCGCACTGATGAAGGGCAGTCGACGTGTGCGTCCGCGATCGACCAGGTAGCCGAAGATCGGACACATCAATAGAGACGTGCCTGCTTCGGACATGAGAAGCACACTGACCCAATATTCTCCTGCTTAAAGGTTAGCATGCGACGGTTTCCGAGGCCAATTTGGGAGTGGGGACAGGAGCAGAACATACGGTGTTCAAATTCGACTCCGGCTCGAGTTACGAGGGCTGTTGGCATCACGGGGACTATCTGTCATTCGTTCATTTTATGTCCAACTCACACCGTGGAAGTGAACGTTTGCTTACCATGGCATATAGGAGGAATTCCTTATTCCAATTAAGTCACGGTCAGTTGTGGGCTTATAAGACGAGGAAACCAGGCTCTCAAATACCGTGAAGGTGGACATCCAGACTGCACCGATGATAAACCCTGTGGAAGAACGAAGCTTCAACAGCCAGGGAGCACGCTTTTCCCCTAGCTCTCTCTTGGGGTTTGGTATACCCCCCATAGTCATCGTTATCTGGAACGAACGAGTAGTTGTCTGCGAGATAGAAACAGAGAAGTCTCTCGCTAACGCGAATCACTGATATAATGTCCAATTAATGTGAGATCCAAACTAATTAAAAATGCAATCAGTGCTGAGAATCAAACAAAACCAGAAACTAGTCCATAAATATGGGACATAACAGTCAAGTGAAAACTCTTTGTTCAACAAAGAACTAAACAACCCATCAGCCCAGCTTCGACCGAGAACCGGATGGAACTCGCCCACTGTTTACTGATAGACTCGTCGCCCAATCGCGCGGTTTTGTGTTGATTGATAGGGCTTGGAAGTGTACACTGCATGCAAGATTCGTCAGATCAACGTTGCAGGCCTACCACCACTGCCCAGAATCTGCGCACTGGCACCACCACACCCTCCGATTCGACGATTGCAATTTAAGCCGGAGATCGAGCGTGCTTGGCATCCGTTTCAATGATGCACTCCGTGATTTATTTATTCGGCCCAAAAAAAAAGAATCCAATCTGCCATCTGGATCTGACATACATCTTACACATTGTCGTTCGGGGGCATGGACGTGAGGGATTGTTCCCACTCCAATTTGGACAGGTATTTAGGGCCCGGTGTGTATCAGAGAGACATTCCACCCAGTGAAATATCTTGGGTATTCCCTGCCCCAAGATGAAACTTTGCTTTGGTCGCCGAGGTAGTGTGGTCGGCAGCGTGGCTGAGCACATGACGGTCTCGGGTAATATTGTCACTCAGATAAGAGGCAAATTGACTCCATCATGGCAACCATTGTTGACCGCTAGATTGGTCATTGTGTTTGATGTTTGCACATGTTGTGACAGGATGTGTAGGCCACGCATATTTAATCTGCGGTACGTAGGTACTCTCCTGTGCTTTGTGTGTATCGAAGCTCTTTGACTACCGAGTCTCGGCGAAGATGCCAACGTTATTCGGGCGTTGTTGAACCGATGTAAGCACCCTGATGGTGTTTTGTTCATTGTTGCGGGTTGTTAGGGAAGATATACTGCGTTCCGTAGGCTTCGTAGAGACCCGATTTGCGTGAGAAACCTGGTATACACCACGGAGGATATAGATATAACCTACCGTGTACGATCGAAGTAGGACAGCCTTAACCCCGACGTACCCTCCGTTAGAAGGACACAAATGAACAAGGGAAAACAAAAGAGCCTTGATATCTCGTCATAAAGACGAGTCAATGTACAGACCGTGACGTCTTTCTCGCCGCACTGTACTACCATCAACAAGATCACTGCGCATGCCTGTTATGGCAGTTGTCAGCAGAGAGCATGTCATGTCAGCGCTGAGTGGTTATCCCCAGGACTTCCACGTCTTTCACGGCTCGTTGCTCACCAGGAGTCCGCAGTGGAGGTCTCCTGGCTGATTTTCATCGTAGTACAAAGCGTCCGGGATCTGAAATATAAGAAATCAAAGGTTAAGAGTCAATGGTTCCAAAGTCGGAGGTCGGAATTTCGGGATTCGTGGAATATGAGATGGACTCCACTGTCTTGCACTCGGCTCGTGGCCCGAAAATCTGGGGGATAATGAAATTGTGCACCCCCTGCTTTCTCTGTGTATGATATGCTGAGAATGCTAATGCTATGGAAACATCAGGCCATACCTACATAGAGAGGAAATGAGATGTCCTATCGCCAACTGATAAGATCGGGATTTGAGGAGAGCGGCCACCCGCGGCCAGAGCGGCCATCGGAGGTGCCCGATGCCTTCTTGATCAGCCAATTTGGTGAATTCCAGATAGAATAAATACTCGTTTGATCTGCTGGATAATACAGTTTTTCTACCCTTCAGCAACCTCTGTTCTCTCTTCTCTTCTATCCTCCAAAATTATCTCTCAAAATTCAAGATGAGCGCATTAGCAGCCGCCCGCTACGGCAAGGACAATGTCCGCGTGTGCAAGGTGCAGCGCGATGAGAAGACTGGTATACAGACTGTCGTGGAAATGACCATCTGTGTCCTGCTGGAGGGAGACATTGAGACCTCGTCAGTTGAGCGACATCTCTCTTCCCCCCCCCCCCCCCCAACTAAGGGTTGAAGCTAACCCAAGGTCTCCACAGTTACACCAAAGCCGACAATAGCGTCGTTGTCGCAACCGACTCGATTAAGAATACCATCTTCATTAAAGCCAAGCAGAACCCAGTAACCCCACCGGAGCTATTCGGTTCGATTCTAGGTACCCACTTCATTGAGAAGTACAACCACATTCACGCGGCACACGTTACCATCGTGACCCACCGCTGGGTGCGCCTGGACGTCGACGGCAAGCCGCACCCGCACTCCTTCATCAAGCCTGGCTCCGAAACTCGCAACGTGCAAGTCGACGTTATCGAGGGCAAAGGCATCGACATCAACTCCTCCATCAATGGCCTGACTGTACTGAAAAGCACCGGTTCCCAGTTCTGGGGCTTCGTCCGTGACGAATATACCACCCTCAAGGAGACCTGGGACCGTCTTCTCAGCACTGATGTCGCAGCGAACTGGCAATGGCGCCGTTTTACCGGCCTCACTGAGGTCAAGACGAACTTTGAGAAGTTCAATGCTGCTTGGGAGGAGGCCCGCGCTATCACGCTCAAGACCTTTGCTGAGGATAACAGTGCATCTGTCCAAGCTACGATGTACAAGATGGGAGAACAGATTCTTGCTGCTGTGCCTCTGCTGGATACTGTGGAGTATGCGTTGCCTAATATTCACTTCTTCGAAGTTGGTATGTTTGACCCTTTCCCCTGTAAACATTGGATTTGGACTAAGATCTGCACTTTTAGATCTCAGCTGGCACAATGGTCTCAAGAACACAGGCAAGGATGCCGAGGTGTACGCCCCTCAGTCCAACCCCAACGGTCTTATCAAGTGCACTGTTGCCCGCGCTGGCCAAATGGCTAAGCTATAAATGCTTTGTAGAGGATTGTCGGCGAGCACCGACATGGGCGTTGGCTTGTTTTCCCCTTGCTTTTTTTGTACAATTATTAATTTCCTATACCTCTGGGATCCGACTCCCTTTACCTCGAATCCTATCCAGCACATCTCTTCCCACACAGCATTGCAAACAACATACAAAAACATTGTTTAGTACGTGGTATTGTGGTTGTATGTGCTATAAGTACATTTCAGAAGAACCGCAGGCTCGAAAGTTGAAAAAGTCCGAGGCCAAGTTAACGGAGTAGATAATCAAAAGCAATATCCCAAGTGGACTCCACACCCATGCGCTTTTGCAGTAGGATCATAACATCGCAGGAGAATAGAATACAGGCAAACACAGACCCGGTTTAGGTCGGTGTTATAAAATAACGAAAGAAGGAGATAAGAAAAAGGATGCTTTATGCGCTTGGCTTGTCGGCGGCTTCTTTAAATGCTTCCTGCACTTCCGGCAAATTTCCGATCACTGATTGATTGCCGAACTTGACGATATTCTCCTTGTAGGGGTGGGCGGCGCCTTCAAAAGCTGCGCAATGTTAGGTTAGACTGGGGTTTAAACATGAGAGTAGATGGGCTGAATAAATGGGGTCCAGGTCGTTCTTTGAAGATGGACCCGGGTATATCTCCATCGAGCAATCAAGTACCCCCATCCAAGGAGCAGGAGCATAGCGATCACGTAGCACTTACTCTTCAATCGAGCGAGACGGACATCCTTAAGTCGGTTTTTAGGTAGCATGCCCCTGACAGCACGGCGGAGGACTTCACCACCACCCCATTTAGCAAACATCTGATCCATCGTCATGCTCTTCAAGCTACCGGGCCGCGTCGTGTGCGTGTAGTACTTCTTCTGGAATCGCTTTTTTCCCGTTGTCTTGAGATCATGACATCCCACAACCACCACGTAGTCACCACAGTCTGTTGAGGGGTCGTAGATGGGCTTGTTCTTGCCCATCAAAACGAGGGCGATCGACGAGGCGAGGCGGCCGAGGGATCGTTCATCGGCGCCGGCGTCGACATAGTGCCATGTGCGCGAGTAGGCGAGACGGGTCTAATGCGTCAATCGTTAGAGTTGAGTTGTTTGTTAGAATGCACGGCATGCGCGGTTGGCCCGGAAGGCTCCGCATTGAAGCTATTTACCTTGCCGACGAGTTGCGACATCTTGTTGACGCGGCGTAGGCTGGTGTAGGTTGCGGGGTGAGGGGCAATTAGACAAGAAATAAAAGAGAGAGAAGTCCAATTGAAGGTTCCAGCAACATAAACCGACCCAGCACCCAAGTAATCGAGATTATGATGATCTCAGCGACCTCTGTATTGCTTGTAGCCTCTAACCCGCCCCAACTGAAGTTCTCCGGGTCATGTGACCAAGCCCTAAGTCTCGTGCCACGCTAGTCCCAAAACAGAATTAGCGTCGCACACTAAGCGAAACCCGCACGGAAGGGCAAATCACTGTGTATGGGAATTCAAGTGACTCTTTTTCCATCTCCCTCGACAACACACTCCCTCCCCCACGACAATCCACCATGGCTTCCGTCCCGAGTGTGCAATGCTTCGGCAAGAAGAAGACGGGTAGGCTCTCTTTTTTTCCAACCGGAAATTCAATGGGAATGAACCCGTGCGCTGACATCTTTAATTTTCATAGCCACCGCTGTCGCCCACTGCAAGGTATGATAAACGCCTACACCCCCTCGGCTCCAATACGTTGTTTCGAAATATCTGGAAGGAAGACAGTCGGAAAGGAATTGTGCACGAAACGAAGAACTGGCATGGAATTTTGGGAAGATTTACGAAACAACATGTTGCGCGATTATCGGGGTCACACACACATTGAACTGGACAAGATGCTGAGACTTTTTTACAGCAAGGCAAGGGCCTCGTCAAGGTTAACGGACAGCCCCTCTCCCTGGTTCAGCCCGAGATCCTCCGTTTCAAGGTACGCACACTACATTCGCTCCACCAACTCCCGCGCGCCACAACAGAAGGGAATCGCCCGAATCGCAAGCGACAATGGCAATGGGAAAGCGTCTCCGAACTCGGTTTCTGACACTTCACGCTCGAAATTTTAGGTCTACGAGCCCCTCCTCATCGTCGGCGTTGACAAGTTCGCCGGTGTCGACATCCGTGTCCGCGTTACCGGTGGTGGTCACACCTCGCAGGTCTACGCCATCCGTCAGGCCATCGCCAAGTCCATTGTCGCCTACTACCAGAAGTACGTCGATGAGCACTCCAAGAACCAGCTGAAGCAGGCTCTTGCTCAGTACGACCGCACACTCCTGGTTGCCGACAACCGCCGTGCCGAGCCCAAGAAGTTCGGTGGTCGCGGTGCCCGCTCCCGCTACCAGAAGTCCTACCGTTAAATTTTTCTTTCTCACTTGTTACGCGGCGAAAGGAAAAAGAAAAGTTTACGGCAATGGGGAAATGGAATATGTCTGTCTTCATATGTTTTTTCTATCACGACTTATTTCCATGACTTCTTGGTGGACTGGGGACTTGGGGGGATTCGGGGATGTTTGAGCGGTTTTTGTTCGGTTTAACCGCTCTTACTTGAGATCAGAGGACCGGGCTAGAGGAATTTGGGAAAATGACCTCTGGTTGTTGTTCCGGTGCCTTGTTGATATGTTTTTCACTGGCGCAGTCCTGCACGGCTGGAAAAAAATACCTAGCATAGCCAGGAAAATCTACTCAATGATACTGGGTTTCATCTTGTTCACATCTTTGTTTTTTTGGGATACTTGTGGTTATTTTAGCAATGGTGTTCTAACATTGGTCTCACTTTTTCCCAGATTTATGTTCTCCATTCGCCAAGCTTGGGCAGGTGTATGCTCTGAAGGTAAACCACCGAGGTACTCACCCCTCACTCCCACATTCTGGGCCCCATCTAGGGTTCATGGATCTGCATATAAAGGGTTTACCCAGCACAAGTGGCTATCTGTCATCCGGATTGGCTACCCAACATCAGTCCATTTGGACAATATTCCGATTACCTCCATAGCCAGATGGTTTCAGCCATCTGAACCCACAGGCAAGAGCGGAATAGGTGCCCCATGCAGCAAGGAAGGGCTGCAACTCTCTTTCAGCAATTTCAGCGACAGCTCCTCTCGAAGTGCTCCGAAAGCTTCAATAGCTCTTCGCAATATTTCTTGTCTCAAAACAGACCGGCACTGGTCATCAGCCAGACGTTGCTTTGTGTCGTCATTTGACCCCATCAGGCAGTAAGCTTACCATTTGAAGTGCAGAAGACCCAGTCATCTCCTAAGTCGGTAAATTGCAATGTCTTCTCTCGGCCAACCCTCCCATTTTCTTCCATTTGATAATCTTTTCTTTGCTCTTCTTTCCTTGTTGGGGGTAGCTTTGGATAGTTGGATAGGGACTTCGGGGAGCATGGGATCGGGTAAGCTCATCACAGGCGAGTTGAGAGGGTGGCCTGTAGATGTGTTCCCTCTTTAAGTGCGAGGATGCCCAGATGTTAGTGAAACATAGACAAACAGCAGCCTCTTTTTTCTGTTCAACCCTCTGTGGTTGAGACCTTGTATTCAATTCCCATCAGAAAATTTTGATTTCTCTTTCATCGATCACTCTGCCGATGCATGGTCACTCGGACGGAACAAGAACTTTTAAGTCATCATTTGAGAGCTTCAAGGCTCAACCACTCGGGATATCCAGAATCCCATGAGGCTCAGCCATCACCACTGCGTAGGGGAATTGCCAACGTACCTTTCTTGATCAACCCTATGTTATCGGAGCCTTCGTATCAGATGGTGTTGTTTTTTTTTCATTTATGCCCATGCCTATGCATAGGCACTAGATTGAGCCCAACAGTCATCATGTATGAGTTTCGTGGCTCGCCCACCTGATATCGATCCACCCATTCGAGGTGAGTTCATCACAAGGCTCATAAGTAGCAATTAAAAAAAAATCAAGGGGAATGGAAAAACTTTCTCTCTCTTTGTTCAGTCATACCTGAAGCCATAGTCATGTTCTCATCCAAGATAAAACTCCACTGCAGCCATAAATATAGCGAAATTGTGGACCTATCCTTCGAGGAAATAATCCTTGTAGTGAAAGCTTCACTCGTATCAGATGTTTGTGTCTTTTTTTCTTTGGAATCCCTTTCAATGCGTAGCCATCCTCGAAATAGCGGCTTAAATGTCATACGTTGGGAATATTGGAGGTATTTTGGAGGTATATCCACATAGGAAGATCCTCCCGAATCTCATGATTAAGATACGGAAAACGTTGGAATGGAAAACTTGCCTTGATAATTTTCGACCTCAACTGAAGTTTAAGCGTTGGTCTCACCCAAGTATGAACTTAGGAATAAGTCTCTGAAAGGTCCTGATTGGTGATCAGGGGAATGATAAATTTACTTCTCGCCTTTTGTATCAACGATTCTTAAAGCGCGCTTTTTTCGATCTAAAACGTCAGTATAAAAGCCTTGGGAGAGTGCGGATGTACCTCGCTTAATCAAACCTCCATATCCGTGAGCCTCAAGCTCTTCGCATCAGGTTTGCTTTCTCTATTCGTTGCTTTGCCAAAGCATACCAAATGGAAAAAGCGTTAAAACCGTCATCAACGAGATTTAAGTCTTTTTCATTTAAGTACCTATAGTCACTGCACGACTGGTGTCGTGTCAGGGGAGTAGGAAGTGCGAAACCTAACTAAATAATTGGAAAAGTCAGCGACAGAGATCCGATCCAAACATATGTCATGAGTCTGGGTGTAAATTGGGAAAACGTTCTCTTGTTTGGCTTTGTATGACTCCTATGGCCTCACATCAGATTGTTCTTTTTAGGGTTCATCCTCAAAATCCACATAGAGATAGTAGACTAGGTGGCTCTTTGTAATAAGATAGTTAAAAGACTATCATCATTTTGCGGGCTTCAATAATTCTTGGATGATCGAAGGTTGTGCCAAGTCAGCCTGGATAGAAAATTGGCAATCGAAAGGAATACCTTAGAACGATTAGTGGAGAAGCTCCAAATCAACAGGAGGGGAGTTAGGTCATACGCGGATATTGGTATCTTGACCTTTGTTCCGATCTCAGTCAAAGAGCTGCACATCAACGCAAGGATTTGAGATAGAACAAGTGAACAGAGTTGCGAACGGTTTGGTCTGGATCAATCTTTTGACATGGCGCGCCTCGGACAAACTATTATAGCCCCTCGGGCCGCTGAAAGCCATGAATGTTCAAGGTGTTACTTGTGAGCTTTCAAATGCGCTGTACACTAGTCTTTAGAGTCCGGGGGTATTTGGATCAAGTCATACATATGTATGTCTAGAACAGTAAAAGACAGAAAGGTCTTTGATCTAGATGTGTGCACAAGAATTGATTTGAAATTAGGCCACAGTAACGGACGACTCAATCATGAAGATCGAGTGATCTGTTATTTCAGCACGTACCGATGTCCCATTTCACCTTTATTTGTGTTTTTTGGCCTTCAGGAAATCAGGGTCAGCTCCAAATTGTAGTCCTCATCATCTGGAATTTCAGATGATTGATGACATGTTGCTAGAGATCCATTAGAATCATGGAAAATCACACCTGAGAGTGAAAATGGGAGTACTTAGATATCTCGAGTGTGAAACAAAAGGAAACCAAGGTAGCAAGTTTAAAGGAGCTGCATGATCTGTCAATAAGACAAGTTGTTCTTTTCGCTTTTTCATCATGTGTTCTCCAAACCCTATCACATGAATCATTGGCTTCGGTGGTCTACAGCCTTCTCATCATATAACGTGCTTTCTGTGGCACCAGATATCGATTGCGCTCGTGGGGTTGGAAGGAGAATCGTGCCTTGGTATCCAGAGTGGAAACCTAGAATACCTTGAGATTGTCAGCGGGAACTTCCTGAAAAAAAAAATAGAAAAAAAAACAGAACAAGGCCCTAAGACTAGCCAGAGAATGAAGATAGCTTTTGTCTTGCATCATATCAAATTTCCTTTCGGTTTTCGGCTTTCAGTGTGCTCAGAGGCCTAGTCACTTGGGACTGGCGACGATCACTTTCAATTTGCGATTTTCTCATCTTGAAATGCGCTTTCGAGCTTTCACAATTCATGGAAGTTTGTGTTGAGTAAGAAAACATGGAATACATACCTAGGTTTCTTAATAGTTAGCCAGAATATTCGAACGTTGTTCCGTAGTACGAATTCTTGAGTCATTAAAC